AGGTTATAGGGTAGGTGAATGATGTGGCATATGGGACTTGTCTTTATTAGTCAAGGCATTGAATACAAGAGCAGGGAGGCTAAGACAAAACAGCACAATATATTGGTTAGGCCACAACTGGAGTTAAGTGCAGGGTTCTGGTTACTATATTGTGTGACTGCACCAGAGAGGTCATACAGGACATTTATCAGGATGTTGATGGAGTTGGAGAATTTTATCGATGAAGAAAGACAAGGAAGGCTGGGATCGTTTTCTTTAGAGCAGAGAAGATAGACAAAGGACCTGCTTGAGGTGTACAAAAACAATGAGCAGCATAGGCAAGGGTAAAGAGTACATAGATGAAGCACCACAAGGCTACAGGCCAAGTGCTGGGAAATGGGACTAGAGTAGTTAGGTGCTTGTTGACAGGTGTGGATGTGATGGACCAAAAGGGCTCTGTCTGCTGTAAAACTCTGATTTTATGAAGTTCATCCTGACAATTGTTAATTGTTCTGGAATCCTGCCCTACTGGTATAGAACACTCTCAAATAAGCTTCATCTCACCTGTATAGTATCTTGTAGCATTCCATAATGAATTCTCTCAGCTACCACTTCTCAAAGCTGATGAGAATGTTTTTCCATTACTCCCTATACTTTCATAATTCTTTCACAATGTGGCAATTGCTGGTTCGGCCAACATTCATTGACCACTTGGAGTGGTATTGCAATGTTGTTAGCATCACAGAGATATGGTTGAGGGAGGATCAAGAGTAATGATTCAACATTCTGGGGTATAGGATCTTCAGATAGGACAGGGAGGGTGCAAAGGCAGAGGTGGTGTTGCATTACTAGTTAGGGAGTCAGTTACTGCAGTAAGATCGGATGATATCTTGGAAAGGCTTTGTGGGTAAAGATTAGTAATAAAAAGGAAGCAGTTGCACTGTTAGGAGGGTAGTACAGATCCCTAAATAAACAAACACAGTCAGTGGACAATAGAAGAGCCTATAAGGACGTTACAGTGCTGGACATAACTGTGGAATGAAGTCAAACAGGTGTTTGAGGTGACAGTGGGGAAGCATTTTAGTGATAGTGACCAGAACACCATACATTTTAAGTTTGTTATTGGAAAAGGAGAAAGATGGTCTGCAAAGGAAAAAAATGCGTTTTTCATTGAGGAAAGGCAGATTATTTATTAAAATAAAGGAGGATCAAACAGGTATTATGGAAGACAACAGGCAGAACATGTTTCCTTTAAGGTGAAATGTAGGAGGAACAAGTCCAAAGAATCATGGATGTCATGGAATATTCAGGACTAGCTAAGGAGGAAGAGAGAGGGGCTTTTAACATTGACAAAGGGAACAAAACAATAAAGGTCCTGGAGGAGTATAACAACTTCAGGGGGATCCCAAGAAAGCAATCAGGAGAGCAAAGGTGAAGGGGAAGAAACATGAAAAACACTGGCACAGCAAGATCACGGAGAATTCCAAGATATTCTACAAGTATATCAAGGGGGGAAAAAAAAAGGCCCATGTTGAAGTCACACCAGTTTCAGAAGCGTGTAATAGCATCTGTGAATTGGCTGATTTTTAAAATATAAAAAAGAGTAGTTACCATTAAAGATCAAAGGGAAAATCAGAGAGTGAAGCCAGAGGACAATGGTAGAGTGTTAAATATGTACTTCACATTTGTCTTTACTCAGAAGTATAGAACTTAAGAAGACTGAACTTCTGGAGCAGATTGATAAATTGTGAGGAAGTTTTGGCAGATTTAAAAATGGACAAATCTCCAGGTCTCGATGAGTTGTATCCCAGGCTGCTGAGGGAGACAAGAGAAGTAACAGAAGCTCTGATCTAAATGTTTAAATAGTCTCTGGCCATAGGGAAGGTGTCAGAGGACTGGAGTACAGCTAACTTGGTTCCACTTTTCAAGAAAGTGGATGGAGATAGATCAGGGAACAATTGACCAGTGAGTCTCACATCATTGGTAGGGAAACTATTGGAGAAATTAATCTCCATTTAGATAACCAGGGTTTGTTCAGGGAGAGTCAGCATGGCTTTGTCAGAGTGAGGTCATGCTTGACAAATTTGATTCGATTTTTCAAGGTGGTGGCCAAGTGTGCAGATAAGGGTAGGGAGGTTTATGTAGCCTACACAATTTCAGCAAAATCTCTGACAAGGTCCTGCATGGGGAAAACTGATAAAGAAGGTAAAAGCACATTAAACGCAGAGTAACTCTGCAAGTTAGAGCCAAAATTGACTAAGTGACAAGAGACAGAGAGTGATGTTCGAAGGCTGTTTGTCTGACTGGCGCCTAGTGTGCAATGGCATACCACAGGGATTAGTGCATTTATTGTTTGACATTCATAAAATGATGTCGATGAGAAAGTTGGGGGATAATAAGCAAGTGTACGGATGACACAAAGATTGACCGGGTGGTTGACAGTTAATAGGGAGGTATTTGGTTACAGGAGGGCAGAAATGATTGGTCAGATGGGTAGATCAATGGCAGATGAAATTTAACCCTGATAAATGTGAGGCGATGCACTTGGAAGAAGGAACAAGACAAGGGAGTACCCAACAAATGACAGGACACTTCAACACTCACAGGAATAGAGGGATCTTGGGATGCTTGTCCACAGCCCCTGACGTGGCTAGACAGGTTAACAGGGTAGTTCAAAAGGCATATGGGATACATACCTTTGTCAGTTGAAATGTATATCATAAAGAACAGAGAGGTAGGTTATATTCAAGCTGTACAGAACTTTGGTTAGGCTACAGCTGGTGTACTGCGCGCGGTTCTGATCACCGCACTATAGGAAGGATGTGATTGCAATGAAGGAGATGCAGAGAAGATTCACCAGGATGTTGCCCGACATTGAGCATTTCAGCTACGAAGAGAGGCTGGATAAGCTCGGATTGTTTTCTTCGTAGCAGAGAAGGTTCAGTGGATTCCTGCTAGAGGTATATATGATTATGAGGAGCGTGGACAGGGTGGATAAAAAGCAGCCGTTCCCCTTAGTTGAAAGGTCAATAACAAGCAGGCACAACTTTAATGTGAAAGGCTGGAGGTTTAGAAGGGATGGGAGGACAATTTTCATCCAGAGGTACTGTAGGTAGTAGTATCTTATCTCACACTACCAGCATAACTGTCTATTCTTTTTTCTCTTGTACACATATCCAGCATATTCATAAGCATTTCTGCTATTTGTTTCAATTAGTGGCTATGATGCTAAATTACACCTTCTAATCAAGGAATGTCCTCTATATCTTAGAATTATAAATTGGAGTCTTATTTGTTTGCCGCTTACGTTTCAAAGGATACAAAAGATGAATTTAATTTTGCACTCTACATCTGGAGTTTTCTCAACAGATGCAGTTTTTAAACCTGTGTTAGATCCTCTTAAATAATTTAAATGTATAATTGTTACAGTCTTTGGTTTTGTTGTAACCAACTATCATATTTGCCACTTAATTCCCATCCCGAACTAATATTTTTCCACATACATAGCGCATGACGTGCCATGTATTATTTTTGCATACCACCTGTTGTCAGTAACAAAGACTTTCTAAATTAGGCCATACACTTCCTGGAACAACACTTCCCTCAACACACTAGCAATTCAGAGTTTAAAATAAAGGCTTCTTTTGATCACTGTCAATTCAGCTGGTAGGATTATAGGAGACTGAAACTGCCAACTCTTCAGGTAACACAACCCAAAGAGCTCCAAATGGAAAATTGAGACAATCAAAGTCAGCTTTGTCAAAATAAAAGATGTGTTAACATTAAATAAAATAAACCTGAATTGTAGTAAAAGAGCATTATGGTGCTGCATTTTTGTCATCTATGTTTCATGCCATGCAAACATATCTAACCAAAATTCCACACAGCAGGCATAGAATTGGATGTTCCATATGTCCCATACAGACATAAAAGCTAACAATGAAGTGTTAGAAATAGCTGGAGAAAAGCAGCAAATTACTGTCTAACATCATTGAAAGATACAATATTTTGGGCACATTACTAGAGCAGACATTAAACAGAGACAGTTACTGGAATGGAATAAAACAATAAAAGAAGCAGAGGAGAAAATTTATAATGGAGTGGACACAGATTACTTGTGTGAAGTTTACAAAGGACAGACAGAGGAAAAAATCCACAGATGTCAATCACCTGGAAAATAGATGGCATCAAAAACAAAAGAAAAGAAAGTGAACCTCAAAAAGGACAAGCTCAAGACCCAAAATCCTAGTAGTCTGGAGAGCCATGGGACTCCTACTGGATTCTGAATAAGCAAGACCCCTTCTGAAAAGGGGCCCTTACTAACGAAGTCAGAAGACATTAGGAAGATTTTTTTTTAAAAAGGCACACAGCATCACAAGCAAGACATACTTTCCAAGGAAGATAGACACATTTTGGGGACTGAATTGGAGCCAAGTGCTCTCAATGTTGAGAGTTTGCTCTAAACATCGAGAGACTGCACTGATCTGTTCACTCAGGTGTCAACCCCAACCTGAAACACTTACCTCATCAGCCGCCCCTGCCCAGGTAAAGCTTCGCTCACTCACAAACACGGCACATCCCAAACTAGGAGAGAACAGCCATACCAGGTAACCTGCTGTTCCCTCCACCCTCTCCTCTACAATCTCCACATACACAGCCCCGGGTGCCTTTTTACCTGGGGGAGTCTCTGTTGGACGATTTTCGCCGCACACCTCCGGGAACTTTCTCCGGGGATGACTGTTCGGGTTTGTTCGGCTCTTTCCGGAGATATCTCGCCCCTCCCCCCGGCCCAAAAAGAGGCCGTTATGACGGTTGGGAGTGCAATCGGCGCACGCTTGGGTTGGGTGGGGTGGACGGAGATTCGGAGAGGGGTGAGGTGGGGATGCAACTGCGCGTGCGCAGTAGCGGGCGCCCTCCCGTTCCCCCTGGCAACCAGCGTCAACCCGCACTGCGTAGGCGCAGCACAGTGGAACTACAATGACCGGCAGGCACTAGGGTGAGGGGAGGTGGATGCGCATGATCGAGACCAGCGCAGCCAACCGCCCTTTCCAATCCCTACCCGTCCTTATTCCCATGGTGCCCCGCGCTTTTTGAGCCATCGGCGGCAAAGTGTGGAAGAAAATGGCGGAGGGCAGCCAAATTAAGACAAGGTAAATAAAAAAAATGGTGAAAAGCTACTCTTCGGGTCAGTGTTACCTCCGAGCTCAGGCTTCTTTCGTTGAATCCTGCGTGTTGTTTTGGGGTGAGATTAGTTGTGGTAAGAAGGCGCCAAAAGGGAGGGAGATACAAACCAAAACAAATTGCTGGAGGAAGTCGGCAGGTCTGGCAGCATCTGTGGAGAGAGAAAGTGAGTTAACATTTCAGACCTAGTGACTTTTCAGAGCAGAGGGGAAGGTTAGGTGAGATCATGAGATAATAGTGAGTTATGATTATAGTGGTAGATTTTAGTTGAAAGGTGAGAGGAGCCTTCAGTGCAGCACAGGGACCAAATTCTGAAGAGGAGTCGAACCATTGATTCTGATTTCTGTCCACAGAACCTCTCAATCAACATCTCTTAGTGGACCAGCATAGATTCGTTGGGGCAAATGTCATCTTTCTGTAAAAGCAAAACGCTGCAAAAGCTGGAAATCTGAAATACAAACAAAGTCCTGGAGAAACTCAGATCTAGCAGCATCTGTGAAGAGGGATAAAAAGTTAACGCTTCCAGTCTGTTATGACTCTTTCAATTCTGACTTTACTTGAAATGCTAATTGTTTGCCTCTCTGCAGAGGTTGCCAGATCTGCTGAGTTTCTGCAGAACTTCCTATTTGTTATTAAGGCCTGTGAATCCTTTGCAATTCTGTGTGTAGGCAGATTATTATTATTGGATTTTTCAGCACCCAGTTTGACATTCCAGTTGTAATGCTGAGGAAGTGGTACAAAGTTGGATATAAATGGCCTTGTGGGTCTAGCCACTGATGGATGAAGAACAGGGGAGTTCTCACTTATCATGGTGACTGCCCATCACTAACTGATCATTTATACTGATTAGGAGTTTGCTGTGTGCAGATTTGCAAGTGTCTTTCTCAGTTAGTTAGTATCACATAACAGCCCTTCAAAAGAGCTTCAAAACTCGAAATATTTTGAAAGCTTTAAGATTTGGAAAATACTGTTTTTAATGAAGGCAATATTTTTGTTGCTAATGAAATGTGTGTTTAGTCTTGGCAGGACAAGAGCAGTGCAGTATATTTTGTTATGGATTTAATCCTAAACCTGATCCTCCCATTGCTGCTAATTATAGTTCATAAATAATGAATCATAAGATATAGAAGTCAGTGGACATTTAAAAATACAGAAGATGCTGGATGAGCTTAGTATGTTTGGCAGCATTTGTGGGGAGAGGAATGGTGTTAACATTTCAAGCCTTTGACATTTGATCAGAATTGGGAAAAGTTATAAACGAATAGGAACAAAAACAAAGTTGCTGGAAAAGCAATTTTGTTTTTGTTCCTGATTTACAGCATCCGCAGTTCTTTTGGTTTTTATAAACGAATGGGTTTTGATCAAGTGAAAAGTAGCAGAGTGGGAAGAAGAATAAAACCAAAGATCTGTAACAGGGTGGAGGGTGAGAAATATTAAATAACAAAAAAAGTGCAAAGCCAGTAGTGGTAAGGGTCAAGTAAAAATGCAAAAGGTATTTCCATTAATGGCAGAGTCCTAAGGAGCAGGCATCTACAAGTAAAGTAAAAGAAATGAGAGAAACAGTTGCTGAGTTCATTGTTAATCCCAGAATGCTAAAGTACCCAGTGGAAAGATGTGTTGTTTCTCAAGCTTCCATTGAGCTCCATTGGAATGGTACAGCAGGCTGAAATCAGAGTCGGAACAAAGTGGAGAATTAAAATGGCAAATTATTTGAAACTCAGGGTAATGCTTGTGGACTGAACATCATGTTCTGCAAATGATCAGCCATTCTACATTTGATCTCCTCAACATAAGTTTGAATTGTAAGCAGTGACTATAGCCTGCTGTACAAAGAAGTGAATTGATTCTGAAAGGTGCTTTATAAATGTCAATCTTTTTTAAAATCCTGACAGAGCTGTAGATATTATTGATTAACCTGTTCAGGCATGTAATGAGACACCTCTGGAGCAAATGAGTCTTGAACCCAGTCCATCTGACTCAGAAGTAGGGACGCTACCACTGTGCCACGAGAACTGTAGTATGCGTTAAATGGGGGGAGGGGAAATTAAAGATGTTATAGTATATCTGTTCAAGGTTACCTCATAAAGTGATAGAAATTCTCTTCCTCTTTCAATAAAAACTGTTTTACCCCATTGATACAACCAACAAAATGCTTTGGAAACTAAACTTTGGTATTGAAGTTGTCAAGGTTTAGCAAAGCGTAATGGTGAGTAAGATTCATAAGATATCTTTGTCTTGCAAAAAAAAACTAGTAGTACAATTAATTATTTTTGAATTCCTAATAATGAAATATTTTCATTTGCATAATGCTCGGGTGAACTAATGATACTGTTGGTATAAGTGGCTTTCAGGGATGATAAGTGCACAGGCAACTTTAGGAGGATGAGAAAAGTGTCAGGATACTTCCAAGATGGATTCTAGGGTTAACTGGAGAAATTCAACCTTAAAGTTGTCGAAAAGATGTTGGAAATCTCACTAAGTTTTAAGGCCAGCTTATACTCATCATTCAGCTCCTTGGCCTACCCTGGTATTCAATTAGATCATGGTTGTTATTCACCTTAACTCCATTTGCACACCTTTTGCTTCAGTATTTACCTAAAAGAAAAATATACTTGCCATAGGTAAAGTGCAACAAGTATTCATTAAACCAATTTCTGGGGAAGGTTTTTGTCGTATGAGGAGAGATTGAGTAGACCGAGCCAATTTTTCCTAGAGTTTGAATGAATGAGAGGAGATCTCATTATAACATAAAACTCTGCGGTTGTCTGGGCAGGGCAGTGCTGCCCTGGCTGTACAGGCAGGTTGACAGCCCACCTCGGCATTAGGGATTGGTAGTTTAGGACTGAAATAAGGAGAAAGCCCTCTACTCAAATGACAGTGGATCTTTAAATTGTCTTGTCCGGAGGATTGTGACAGGACAACTGTTTGTGAGGACAAAAAAGGTGTGTGACTGTATCCGTTTTGAAACAGGAGGGAGCAGTACCTGAAGAGAGGTAACTGTTTACAGTGGCTTCTTATTAGCACGGTTCCCAGCCATTTGTACTGAGCATGAAATGATCTTGGGAAAGAGTTATAAAACAGCACTAAACTGTATTGGGATTATGCATTTTTCCTTGGAATGTGTTGCTGCCAATATCCAGTTTATGTAGAAGCAACACTGATTATTGTGTCATTCAGGTCAATAATTGGAACTCTTGCCTCTGAGTATGAAGGCTGTGGTTAGTGTTTTCTATGTGCTCCACACCAGACTACAAGTTCCTGCGTGGCCATGCACAGGTCAGCTCCTCTACATCAGTGTGCAGCTGTGCACAAAGAAATTAAAGGGACCACACATGTTTAAAAAAAAGAGGGAACATTGGTTGTGGGTTAAATTCCACACCAGATACTTAATCATATAATCCAGTGCATCAGTTCAGGTCTAGAGAAATGCTGGGAGATTGCAAGAACTCCAGATGCTGGAGTCAGAGTCAATAGTGTGGAGCTGGAGGAGCACACAATAATTTAAATGTAATTCGTGAGCTGTAAAACGCTTTAGCACATCTTCTGGTTGTAAAAGGCACTATGGAAATGCACATTCTCTCATTCTTTCTTGAGGTGATAATTGTGTGTTGCCGTGATTCAAACTGGCTTTTGGGAAATATTCCTGGACTCTTTTCTCCTCACTGAAGTAAAAGTGGGGGAACACTTTGGGTCTAGCGATCATAATTCTACTAGTTTCAAAAATGGTTATGGAAAAGGATAAGCCTTCCATAAAAGTTAAAGTTTTTAATTGGAGTAATGCAAATTTTAATTGTATGAGACAAGAACGTTCAAACGTTGATTGGAGTAGACTGTTCGCAGGTAAAAGGATGTGGGAGGTGTCCAAGAGTGTAGTGATGAGAGTTCAGAGGCATTTTGTTCCTGTTAGAGTGAAGGGTAAACCTGATAAGATTAAGGAACAATGGATGAATAAAGATATTGAGGTTCTAGTCAGGAATAAGAATGAATCTTTTTTTTAGATATAAACAACTTGGTTCGGTTGAATCTCTTAATAAACATAAAGAGAGTAGGGGCATTCATAAGGGAGAAATCAGGAAGGCAAAGAGGGAATGTGACATAGCATTGGCAGATAAGGTTAAGGATAATCCAAAGAGATTCTACAAATACATTAAGAGCAGGAGGATAACTAAAGAGAGGGTTGGGCTTCTTAAAGATCAAGGAAGTCATTTTTGTGTTGAACCTCGGGAGATGGGAGAGATACTAAATGAATATTTATGTCAGTTTTTACTGTGGAGAAAGAAATAGAGTCTAGAGAATGCAGAAGAATAAACTTTGATGATTTAAAAATGGTTCACGTGACGGAAGAGGAAAGTTGGGAGGTCTTAGATTTTATAGAGGTGGATAAATCTCCAGAACCTGAACTAATGTATCCCAGATGTTGTGGGAAGTAAGGGAGGAAATTATGACACCCCAGGCAGAAATATTTGCACCATCTATAACTATGGGTGATGACTGGAGAGGGGTGGCTAATCATCATCATAGAACTCCTACAGTGTGAAAACAGGCCCTTTGGCCCAACAAGTCTACACTGACCCACACAGCATCCCACCCAGACCCATCCCGCTCTCACCCACCTAATCTACACATCCCTGAACACTATGGGAAATTTAGCATGGCCAATCCACCTAGTCTGCACGTCTTTGGACTGTGGGAGGAAACCGGAGCACCCGGAGGAAACCCACGCAGACATGGGGAGAATGCGCAAACTCCACACAGTGTTGTACCTTTGTTTAAGAAAGGTTGTAAGGAGAAACCGGAGAACTATAGACTTGTGAGTCTGACTTCGGTTGTGGGTAAACTGTTGGAGGTGATTATAAAAGGTAGTGTTTACAAGCATTTAGACGGGCAAAAATTGATTAGGGATAGTCAGCATAGTTTTGTGTGAGGAAAATTGTGCCTGACAAACTTGATTGAGTTTTTTGAGCAAGTTACCAAAAAGGCAGAGCAGTCGACATTGTTTATTTGGATTTCAGTAAAGCCTTTGACTGGTAGACTAATTAGTAAAGTTAGGTCACGTGAGATTCAGGGTGAGCTTGCCAGATACATAATGGATTTAACAGATACCTAATGGGTTTAACAGCAGGAGACAGAGAGTAATGGTGGAAGGTTGCTTTTCGGACTGGAGGCCTGTGTCCAGCAGTGTTCCACAGGGATTGGTTCTGGGTCGTCTTGTTTGTCATTTATATAAATGACTTGGATGAGAATATAGAAAGCATGGTTAGTAAGTTTGCAAGTGCCACCAATTTTGGTGTCATTGTAGACAGTGAAGAAAGTTTTCAAAGATTACAAAGGGATCTTGATCAAATGGGTCAGTGGGCTGAAAAATGACAGATGGAGTTCAATCTGGATAAATGCGAGGTATTGCATTTTGGTACAACAAAAAAGGGTAGGACTTATACAGTTAATGGTAGGGCCTTGGGTAGTGTTGTAGAACAGAGGGACCTGGGGTGCAGGTACATAATTCTTTAAAGTTTACGTCACATATACACAGAATGGTTAAAAAGGCATTTAGCATGCTTCCCTTCATTGCTCATTCCTTTGCGTATAGGAGTTGAGACATTATGTTGAGGTTGTATAGGACATTGGTGAGGCCTCTTCTGAAATACTATCAGTTCTGCTCGGCCAGTTATATGAAGGACATTAACAAGCTGGAGAGAGTTCAGAAGAGATTTACCAGGATGTTGCCAGATATGAAACGTTCAAGTTGTAAGCATAGGCTGGGACTTTTTTCACTGGAGCTTAGGCGTTTGAGAGGTGACCTGATAGAAATTTATAAAATAATGAGAGGTGTAGATAGAGTTGATGGTAGTCGTCTTTTCCCAAGGATGGGGAATTTCAAGACCGGGGGCACATTTTTAAGGTGAGAGGAGAGAGATTTTAAAAAGACATGAGGCAAATTTTTTACAGAGGGTGGTTCGCGTGTGGAATGATCTTCCTGACGAAGTGGTGGGTGAGGGTACAATTACAACGTTTAAAAGACATTTGGATGGATATATGAATAGGAAAGGTTTGTAGCAATATGGACCAGGAGCAGGCAGATGGGACTAGTTTAGTTTGCGATTATGTTCGGCATGGAATTGTTGGACCGAAGGGTGTGTTTCTGTGCTGTATGACTCTGTGACTTTCTCTATTTCAGAAGCTGTTTATAAACTGTTTCTGTTCTGTTAACCAGGCTCCGGAGTTCCAGTCAAATTACACCATTGTCAGATCAGGTCAGTAATATATTGTTTAAAAGAAAATCTCAGAATCTTTGCTTATGACAAGTGACAACATTTTTTCACTTTTTTCTTTGGGTCAGGGTTACTCATGAAGGATTGGCACTTTCTTCATCTCCCGAAGATTCTCCTCCTCCACAGGGCCCTTAGCTGTATCCTACCTATTTCCTGAACTTCTGCCCTCACCCCTTCTCTTTTGTCCCACCACTCCGATAGGGTCCCATGGTCCTTGCTTTCCACCCTACCAGAATCCACATCCGAAGGACCATGAGCTGCCTTTTCCTCTACCTCCAACGGGACGCTACCACCAGACATGCTTCCCTCCCTTGTTAGCCTTCCGCAGGGACTATTTCCTCTGGGACACCCTTGTCCACTCTGAACACTTTCCCATGCCCCCACGGCACCTTCCCGTCCTAGCTACCATTGGTTCTGAAGACGGGTCACTGGACCCAAAATATTAACTCTGATTTCTCTCCACAGATACTGCCAGATCTGCTGAGTTTTTCCAGCAATTTCTGTTTGTGACCCTTCCCTGCGTTGTTTCTTGTGCAATCCATTTTCGAGGCCCACCTGCGCGTAGCTCCTACCAAACCACTTCAATATGACAGTGTTATATTATACTCAGTCAAACGCAAGAGTCCATCTTTTAATGAGGTACATTTCCTCATTACAGTTTTTTAATAAAATTCAGTTCTAAACTGTATTCTTGATATGAATGCATAAAATGGCAGCCTAAATTGTTTATACTTGCAGTGGTGCATAATAAAGTTATCTTGGAGAACAGCAGTGAAATGGATCTGAACAAACTATAATGACCAAGGATCTTAACATTTTTGATCCCCAATAGAGTTCCTCTTCTGAAAGAAAATATCGCAGAAATCAGAAGCTTGGAAACCCTGGTAAGAATCAGTTTATTGTGTGCACAGTGATATCCTTCACAAACATATTTTGTTGAGTCAAGTACTGTATGTACACAAGTGCTTTAATAAGGCAGACTGTGTTCTGACAAAGTTCAAAGGAAAAGTTAAAATTGGGTAAGAAAAACTTAAACCTAGCTGATAGGGAGAGATGATTGTTATACAAAGTACATGTTCCACAAAAGGTTACATTGACACTCGTCAATTTTTGATAGTACTCGATGCAGACAAATATGAGGTATTAAGGAAGTAAAGAAATAGGCCCCAGGAGTACTAAATTGATGGATAGACCTTGCCCTGGGCAAGTTGGAAGAGATTTTTACACTGTTAACTTGTTGCTCACCACAGCTAGATATAATGAGGAAGCAGTTAAGAAAGCAAAAAGAAGAATCTAAATTATGTTTCAAACCTCCAGAGGTCACGCTGCCTTGTTGCTGTTGCTTTACCATCAATAGTAACTGACCTGTGTCTGAAGAGAAATTCTTTTTAAAGGATAAAAGGCATATCAGAGTGGGAGTCCCTACAACTGTTTCACAATGAGTTAAGTAAGGCCTGTCAGAGAAACATCAAGAAAATCAATTTGAATTGTTAAGTGCTCAAAATCTCAGTTTAATAGCCTGCCACTCATGCATTTAAAAGGCTTGCTGACTGAAGTGTTTAATTGTGATCATGTAAAAGAGAATGTACACACCATTGTATGCATTGCTTCATGTGTGTGAATTTCTTGCTGATTCTGTGCTCCATCCTTTTAATATTGCTCATTTGGTTTGGCACTGCACCCTTATCTTTTTGCTTGTGTATTTAATAAACATCAGGACGGTCTAGTTGGGCTGAATGTCATATTTACAAGCTGTATGTTGTATGTAATTCTATTCCCTGCTTCACTTTGGTTGAGCTTGCTTTAAAAAGAAATAGCATCTGTCTTTAGTGCCATCTGCATGCACCTCTTATTATGTTGGCTTCTATATAATGCTTTGCTGACTTTGGTCAGCTGTTTCACTGTCCTCTAGCACAGCTTTCTGCAGGGTGGTTTATCTCTCTAATTGCAGACATGGTACATCTTCAGAAGGGGGTCAAGTTTCAACCCTTTGCTTTCTTCACTTAAGTAGCACTCTGAATTTGCTGCTGTCACGTTGCCCTTTTAGACAGCACTTGCCCTTTCCTACCACATTGCTGCTGGCAAGCTGTTAATCTTCAGTTCTTGCACACCTAACAACAGTGATTGCAATGTGTAAGTAGTCTGTCAGCTGTGAGGATCTTTGAGATTTCCTGATGAAATGAAAGTACCTTAGACATGCACATTGATCCAGTACTGTACTGTCATCTAGTGACTTTAGCAAACAGTGAGAGAGCAAAACAATCTACTGGTAATAATTACAAATCACGGAATTTCAATCTGCTTCAGGGATTAGCATGTATAAATAATTTACACTGATTTCTTACATACATAAGCTAGATATCATTGTTAAATTTGAAATGTTAGCTATTAATTATCATTTAGTCATGGTAGTAGTTAACAGTTCTTTGAACCAAGAATGCAATCACTGTCTGTTAACCTACTCTGAAAATATGCATTTAGTCCACAATAGTGTCTCATGCAGAAAATAGCTTGAGCGATCCTCTGGACACCTTCAATTCTTTAGGTTCTGTTACAATGAGGAAGAGATGAGAAAGGAAGTTGTTGCTTCTGCCTAAATATGAAGTCATTTATGTTCCTGTCCACCTGATGGAAGATCTTCTGTTTTGACTGTTGTCCCGTGTTTTGTTAACTGTTTAATTTTTTTAGAGTCCATCACTAAGCAGGAAGGAGCCCCACAAAAGAGCAGCTTCCAGGCTCGGCGCAGTGCCAGGCTAAATCCTGGTGCGTGTGCCGATACCAATGTGATCTCTCCAGAACGTGCCAGTGTCAGCCCAAACTCCCAAGGCAGTATGACCCTTGTCAACCCTACTGGAGAAACTGAGGTCAGTAAGCCACCATCTGCCAACAAGCGGCTCAAGAAAAGTCCACAGTCACGGTCACTATCCTGGCGACGCTCCAGTTTCAAGGGTGGTAAAGGGCGAAAATCCCTCCCACCAATCCACCACGATGCAACAGGTGAGGACTTGTTTGTTTACCAAACATGGTGCCTGTTTTGAAAACTTTACTCTGTTGTATCTGCAATGCTTCTTCCTGTTCAAAGCTCCTTCTGCTTCCTGCACTAGAAGAGGATTTACACAGAACTATTTACAAACTTATTGGATAAACAGCTTGACCATGGCTGGTGTCACATTCCTCAGTGATAATGGTTTGTAAACAGTCCCCTTCAGACTGCACCATTTCTCCCAGAACCCAACATGCCTTTAAAGAATTTCCACTAGTGTAATTCAGAAGTGCTGTTCATGGGGGCTTACGTGATTGGTATAAATTGGGTTGTGAAGATTGTTCATTCACAGCTTGATATTTGTTCTTCCCACCTGCAAGAGGTGCCTTATCAAACCAAGAAGGTTCTGTACTTTGGGGTGTGGGAGGGGAGAGGAGAGGGTTGATTGCTATTGTGTTCCTGCCAGAGGCTGCAGATGGTGCAGCTTTGGCAGTGTGCTGGAGGTAGGCCTGTTACCTTGTCTGCAGAGCCATGAAAGAAGAACTTTTAGCACCAGGTATATGCTCTCTTTTGCATCCACAGTATTGTTGAAATGTTTAGTGACCGAACTGTTCTCTTATGGCAAAAGTGTCCTTTCACTCTGTGTATGTTCCTTGAGACCCAATCCTTTTCAAGTTGCAACACTTAAAGCTTCTTTCTTTGCTTTGTTTCTGCATTTGATTACTTTGCAGAGCATCTTCATTTTTGGTTTAATGTGTGAAGTACTTGCCTTATTGATTCCCCCCAACCTGATGGCAGTTTGAATCTACAGGTGCAAGCGACAGCGCCTCTGAGATTGGACCAATTCTGCTGGTACCAGTATTTTGAACAGGGGTCAGTCACACAGCCTCCAGCATCAGTATCTTTCCTTTGAGGAACGCTACAACTACAAACTAATAGTCCAAAGGATATGGAATTGGGAAAGGATGTCTGTACATTGTTCAGAACCATCTGCACAAACTAGCAGCAACAAAGAAAATAAATAAATTATATGGTAGATAGAGTAGAACTCGGGCCTGATATTGAGCCAATGCAGGGCACTGGTTAAAACTTCTGTCTGGAATATTATGTGCTACTTTGACAGTCCTTTTACAGGCAGGACTTTGTGGCCCTTTGAAAGGCATAATAAAGGACTCATCACATAGCCGAGTTAAAGGGAAGCTGTATGCGCCAAAGTTTTTTTTTTAGCGGCGGAGGAGAGTGAAAGGGGATTTTATTAATGTTTTCAAGATCCATCTGAGTATGACAAATAAAGAAACTCTTCACTGTGGGCCAGGACTAACCAGAAGGATGTGGGATGAAGCTCAGTGTACAAAGACATTTTCTTTTTTTTTGAAAGTTCATTCACAGCATTGTGGGAAGCTTTTATTGCCCACCCTTGATGATGAGCTGCCTTCTTGAACCGCTACCGTCCATTTGATTTTGGTACATCCACGATACCGTTAGGGAGGGAGTTCAAGGATTTTGACCCTGCAACACTGATATTTGTAAGCCAGAGTGACATGGGGCTTGGATGGGAGCTTGCAGGTGATGGTGTTCCCAAAAAAAGCCCTTGTCTTTATACAGCACATTTCATTGCATTTGAACCAGAGTGCATTGAAGGTATAGTCACTGCTAAAAAACAGACAAGCAAAGCAGCCAAGATGACACAAACAGCAGCCTGGATAATCTATTTGGGATTTTTTTGAGTACATATTAATATGAGACATGAAAATGTTGTATTGCTGTTCCAGCCTGTTCAGCCATTCAGTGAAATGATGGTTGATGTGCATCTTAACTCCATCTACCTGCCTTAAGTCTTGCTACCTTGTCCGTTGTAATGAGTTGCCTTTTTAACAATGGTGTAATCAGTTTCATTCTGAGTTGCAGTTCAAACAACAGAAGCAACCTGCATCGTTTTGGCTCTCGCTGGCATAGAATGTTTTTCTGAAGCTCTGACCTTGTCCTTCTCCCCTTTCAGACGATGAATAATTGCAGTACAATATTGCATCATAAATAAATGTGTATGTCCCTGGTTTATGACCACTTTGTGCTCCTTGTCAAAATCACATACTTCCCAAGCGCAACTGAAAGTTGCTCTCTGTGACGCCTGTTCCTGAGCAATAGAGGCTAGAACATCACAAATAATTTATGCGTTTCTTTAAAAGTCTGCTACCTCAAAAAATTTGAGTAAAAATTTAAAGTTGGAAACTTTGAGTCGATCTTAAGTGCACATTTTAACACTAACATTTCAACTTTACCCACTTTTTCAGACATTTTTGAGGGTATCAGCACAGATTTGCCTGAGGACGAAAGACTGGCACTGCTGTTTCATGCATGTTTAGAGGTATGAGACTTTAAAATTCATTTTGCTTACTGTGCATTCTGAATATTTGTGTAATCATTGGGATTTCAATAAAAGTAACAGTGAAGGTGTGAAATGTTCATGTTGTGCCTACCATAGAAATTTTTTCATATAACTGCAGAGGTTTCCCTGTCCAAATTTGGATGTGTAGCAAATTTTGAGTTAAGTCTGTGTTAAATACCTGAGGTTAAAGTTAATTATACAAAGTCCAGGCTTACGCATTTCTGGTCAGTTTTATTTCAACTTTAGTCACGTGACTCCAACATACTGATTACCTGTTCCCTCTAAATTCTCATCAAATTGTTCCTTAGCTATCATCAGATGATACAAGTAGTTCTGCTATAACGCATGTTTCGTTAACACAAATTGGCTGTAACGCGATTGATGAATAGTGGATCCTGTTTGCATCACGCGAACTTTCTGCGGTATAGTTATAGTGATTTTCTATAGCACGAGGTCACGCAAGAACGTGACTATCACATTATAGGAGAACAACCTGTAACACCCTGCTCCACAGTTACAAGGAAGGGCATGGGTGGTCACTTTGAACTCGAGGAGCACAGATTAACTTTTTTTTTGTGGGAAAGGTTTTGCACGGTTGTAGCAAACAGCTTATCATGCAGGAAAACAGAAGCTTGTGGCTAATTTTGAGCCACTGAGCACAGGCTTAACTGAAATGCTGTTCAACATCTGTACACTTATTGTAAAGAGCTTTCTCCTTTAGTTTTTTTTTAAAGAGAGGAACAGATGTAAAACTGTTCATGTTTCTCTTTCTCAGTATACTTTACAAAAGCTGCAACGCTCCTTGGAGCCACAAGAGGCCTTCAATCTGGAAGCCTTTCAAAAGCAAGGTTAGTCATAATATCTTCAGTTTGTCATCTCTAATGTGTTCTCCGAGCTAAGCTTCTCTTCTTGCTCAGTTAAGTTGATCACCCATACATGGTGTTGATAAGGCAACAATGTGTCGCCTACAAGTGCCTGGCACTCCCATTGATCCTTGTTGCCTTGCTGCCATTCTATTCTCTAGTTCCTGAAGTTTTGCTCTGCAAGCTAAGACACTTGATTATCTGAAGGTTAAATAAGCAGCTGCTTTGAGCACCACTGGAATAATGATATAGTAAGAAGCATAAGCAAAAGGCTTCGCAGATCCTCTTCCTGTGTGACTAAACCTCGGCATTGTAGCCTGCATAGAGAGTAAGACCGTAAGAAATAGGAACAGGCGTAGGCCATTTGGCCCTTGAGCCTGCTCCATTCAATAGGATCATGGCTGATCCGACACTCCTCACGTCCACTTACCCGCCCTTTCCCATCACCCTTGATTCTCCTAATGAGCAGAATCTATCTGTCTCAGCCTTAAATATACACAAGGACTCTGCTCCCACAGATCTCTAGTAACAAGATCCAAAGGCATTCACCGTTTGAGAGAAGAAATTCTTCTTTGTCTCAGTTTTAAATTGGCACCCTTTAATTCTGAGACAATACCCTCTTGTCCTAGACTCTTCCATGAGGGGCAACACCCACTTAAGAATCCCATATGTTGCAATAAGATCGCCTGTCATTCTTCTAAATTCCAATGAGTAGAGTCACAATCTGTGTAATCGTTGATCATAAGACTGTCCCTCCATACCAGGGATCATCCTAGTGAACCTTCTCTGAACTGCCTCCAATAAAATAATATGTTTTCATAAATAAGGGTACCAAACTGTTCACAGTACTCCTGATGTGGTCTCACCAGCACCTTGTATAGTTGCAGTAAGACTTCCCAACTCTTATGCTCCAACCCCCTTGAAATAAGGGCAAACATTCCATTTACTGTGCTGATTCCCTGCTGCACCTGTGTGGTATCTTTCTGTGTTTCATGCACAAGTCCCCCCAAAGTCCCTTTGTGTTGCAGCTTTCTCCATGTAAATAATACTTTGTTCTTTTGTCCTCTCTTCCAAAATGAACAATTTTGCATTTTCCCACATTATACTCCATTTGCCGACTCTTTTGCCCACTTACATAACCTATCAATATCTCAACCAGTTGAAGCCGGTGGATAAGGGTGGCTAATGTCTACCATTTCACAGGATTGAGATCTCAGGTCTGAGTCATACTGCGCTTTTCCAGCCCCGCAACAACATTAATGCAGTTGCAGCAAAATAATTTTCAATGATGAATCCTCTTGGTGGTAAAGGAAAGTTTCGCTTCTGTCTCTGCTTTTACTGACATGAATGGTCAGTGTTATCTGGCTTAGGATGGTGGATGAGAGCTTTTTGATTTTTCCCTTACAGAGCAGTGACTGGTTGAACTGTGTGTGATGTTTTTAAGTCCATGATGGCCTTGCCCTTTGTCTCTAACTTCCTTCAGCCTGACAATCCTTTGCACTCCTATAATTCCCTTGTACAATGGTTCCACCATTGGTGACTATACTTTCAGCTGCTTTGACTCTGGAATTTCCTCCCCAACCCTTTCTATATTTTCTATCATTTAACATGCTGCTTAATGCCTCTTTGATTAACAGTTTGCCTATCTGCCCTGGTATTTCCTTTCTGTGGATTCTTGATCAATGTTTCTTAGCTGTTTAACACTATGATTAAGTGCCTTGGGATTTTTTTGCTTTGTGAGGAGCTGAAATCAAACATTATGGTAAGATGCTGTCTTCATGAATGGGGTTGAGCATGGAGTGCAGTAACAGGGGTCACCTTCCACCTCTGTGCAATCTGAGGTTCCAAAGCTAATCTGTCTCTCAGTCTACCTGTGTATCTGAAAATATAGAGAACTGCATAGAATCAAACAGTGCCTCGGTGTCCAGGTATTGGGAGGTAGGCTGAGATACAGTAGCAGGAATTTACCCAATAACCGTTCTAATTACAGGTTTTTGTATATCTGGGGCTTTAGCCATGTACAGACTTATTTAATTTTGTCATAATGCCTTAAAAAGTTTGCAACATGAACTAAGTTCAACTGCAGAGCCAGCACAACTTATGGATTTAGTAGTTTTGCCTAAACTGTGAGGAAGGAGCCAGATACTCCATTCAAACACAAACATTCTGTGCCCTTTGTTCACCTATTTGGCAGCTTTCACTATTAAAATGAATTGAGCAGGCTGAGGTGATGAATCATTGAAGCTAATCCTGCTTGATGCAGCCACCTTTGTGAAGATATTTATCAGTGTTTCTTTTCAAATCGGGATGTCTGCCTAAATTATTTTTCTTGAGAGATTGTTGAACTTGGTGACTCGAGCGATAAGGAAAGGGTTTGCTGTTTGGATCTGTATTAGCGTTGCCAGCATGAACAATGTGTTTTCCACACAAACAGGTGCTCACTGTGCTTATGAGTGTTCTACTTTGTAATTTCCACACTCTTCTGAAGACATGGAGCATGCTATGAAATTGTGTAGTGAAACAAACACCCTGCTTATGCCCTGGAGGTGCTGCCATATTCTCTGAAAACAACCAAAAAAAACTTGCCTTTATGTAGCATCTTTCACAATTACAATATCCGGTACCTTTTCACAACCAGTGAAGCATTTTTCAATAATAGTCGCTACGATAGTGCAAAAAAGACGACAGCCAGTTTGCACTCGGCAAGGTCCACAGCAAGGAATGACAAGGTATTGTGTTTTAATGATATTGATGAAGAGAAAACCATTGACTAGAACCTTGGGAATAACTCCGCAGCAAGTCTTTGACGTAGTGCTATGGGATCTTCTATGTCCTGTGTCAGTCATTTGCTAGAGCATGCCATTAACTATGCAGTATCTACTCAGGAACATGTAATAATGTTAACTGTTTGTGCATGTTCCTATGATAAACTAGTGCAGGTTCTGAAGGTTGAAAGTAAAACAAAAACACACACCAAAATTCGGAATGATGCCAACATCATAACAGTTGGATATTTGCTCTCTTCACCCCACCCACCCTGTCCATCACCATCTTCACTTACTTGACCTGTCTTTCATTTTTCTTCTTCTTTTGCCTTGACCCATTTGACACTCTGGCTGGTTGGGAATATAGAAAACTTTTTCTCAAGCCTTTACCATGGCCTTGCTGAAATCAGTCATTACACCTACCTTGAATGGTTTCCCATCTGAGATTGAACTTTTACTGCCAAGCAGAAGTATGAAACAATAAAGTGAATAGTCTCAATAATATAATAGGCATTAGTTGGCTTGTTGGAAAGTGGAAAATAATAAATAGCTCACAGCTGCTGCTTTAAACCGGATTTAAGCTCTTTGTAAATAGCAGTTCCTTTCTTTATCATCATCTAGAGCGTCCATCCAGTAAAATGTCTGTCCTTTAACTGCATCTCCCTAGTGATACAACCAGATTAGGAAGGTACTTGCAACCTGTTCGATGGTGTAGTGTGTTTTTCCCTGTTTGATCCTTTATTGTTTGTACTTGCAGCCTCTGATATTTCCAATGACATTAAACGCATTGTGGAGACTATGAAACTAGACGGGACTCTGAAGCAATGCACGGAGAAACCAAATGAGTAAGTGACCTAAGTAAAGAGGCAAGTGTTCAAATATTCGCCACTTCTTTTGGAAAGTTCAGGTTAACAATTCTTGTAGTTTTGGATGCAGGTATAAGTTTATGTGGCTTTAAACATTATTTCCTCCATTTGTTTCCCAACTGAGAACTCATACTGGAAATCTGCACTCAGCCACAATCTCTGCTTCTTGGTGACCACCTGCTGGGAAGACCCAGCATGACTCAGGATGTGGAAATGGAAGGCTGAATGGGGTAATCTGAGTGTCAACCTGCCTGTGTTGCAAGTTTGCTGCATCTCCGAATCATAGTTGTGTGTGTAAATCCTACAGCACAAAGCCTGCACACATTAATAAATACCCAGAGAACTCCAGTTGTTTTCACTGTCTCTCCGCCTAAGACATGGCACCATCAAATAGCATTGGGATGTATAATTCCTGATGGTGCAGTTCCTGCCTGCATCAACTTGTTCTGACTCATAGAGCCTATGTGCAATCAAGGATGTAATTTCCATAATCCATGGTGACTGTCTATGGTTGTATCTCTGCCAGTCTTTGTGATCTTGGTGTTTATTTTCCAGCATTCTTTTCAATTCAGAAACTGAGATGCTGATGAAGCAGCTAAAGGATGACATTTCCAGGTAGGCTACTCCAACGTCTCATTTCATATTAAAACTTTTTATCACCGTGCCAGAATTTAAAATGATATGTTTGCTCAGTAAGTTGTCTTAGGTTTCACTGGTCCATGACCCAGTTTACAGCACTCTGGCCTCTTCAGTTAGAGGTTCAATATCTGTTCAGGGAACTGAGCATACCAGTCCAGGATGGCATTCCCTTCATACCAGCAATAACAGCATACTTCCCAAACCATTTCCCACTGACTCCATTTCAAGGCTGGGATATTGCACTGACTCCACGCTGAGAACTCAGGTACTGAGGAAGTGAATCCGAGTGTGGCAGGGGAAGTGAAGTGTTTAATTTTCATGAGTTTAATCTTCATTGGCTATTTTAGGAGCTGAAATCAAATCTCCTGGATCGATCAGTTATGCCACAGCCATCATATGAAAGAAGTGAGCATGTAAAGGGTCCTTGCAGCTTTTAATGTTCACTCTGAGCTCTGCAGCCACCATTGCTGTCTCAGAGCTCACAACCCCTGAATTTTGATATACTTCAAAACATTTTCTAAAGCGTTTTGGAATGTCCTGAGAAAATAAAGGGCAGAATATAAATCAAGGTTGTTTCTTTACACATCCTCTGCTTTGTTTTTCCTCGACTGGTGAAACGAATTTATGAATCACAGCTTTGTGCAATGTGCTGCAGTTTTATATACACAGCCCTCCAAGAAGGAAGCTGGACATTATATCATAGCAGGACAGGACAAGAGAGCTCAAAGTTACTGCCTGACACAGTGTTTCACCAAG